AATACAATTCCGGAACTGGATCTCAGTCATGCATGGATGGATTTTGTTCAGATTTAGTACAATGTGTTGTACATATGCAGGTGCATTTCGATCATGATCTGCTTTGAATGTATATGTCACTCAAATATGAACGGAACGGGGACGTGTCATTGACAATGACTTGTTTTTGTAATCTTATACCATATTGAGTTACAAAGTTGCAGTGTGTCTGTGGTCAAAATAAGTAATTTTAATAATCTTGCACACAATAAATTATGTGGGCTTCTATTAAAAATGCATTTCTGATAACTGTTGTAGCCAATTGCTACCGAACTAAATCTTTTCTTGTTCTATTTGTTTTACAGTGCTCTGATTGAACACTGTCAACCAGGCTTGTGTCCAAATTGGAAGTCCTTGGATCGCAGTAATAGACTTGATAACTGTTCTAATGCCATGAAGCTAGGCAAAGAACACTTTGACATTCCATTAGTGTTATCACCAGAAGACATGTCTAGTGGACACATAGATGAACTCAGTGGAATGACCTATCTTTCTTATTATCTGAAAAAAGAAGGCCCTGGTTGGTTTGCTACTTTGAATTGGGTTAGAAAGAAAGTACCAGAGTTAAATGTACAAAACTTTCAGGTATGTATCAGTAATTGTTATGTAATTTATGGGGTGTTTTTGCTATAGTCTCTTCAATAGACAGAAAAGAGAAACGTCACCTGATTTTAGATGCATATTAGCCCCGCTTGACTATAGATTGAATGCATGGGGACTGGTACGTCCATCTCATTCATATGCTTAATAAGACGTGACTATTATTAAAATAAATCATATTTTAAAGATAATGCATTCAATAAATGTAATTGTTGATTTGTATCTGTTGAGCTAATATGGTAGTCATTTCAATTGTCAATTGATGGCATTTTTATTCTTAAAATGCATAATTTCTTCATCCGTTTCTCAGACATACATTATGGTGGCAACATACATTGGCTTACTGATGTATGTTAATGATATATAAAATAAGTGCATGCCACTTACATAAACATGTATGGTGATATGGTAAAGATCTCACGAGAATCAAGCTCTCAATTTTAAAAACAATCCTGTATGCGCCAATCAAACATTAGTTCTAGCATCACAGTGAGTGCTTCAATTACATGCTTTGCGAATGAGTGCAAAAACTACCAAAACAATTTGAGATGAACATGAATAAGGTATTCATAGACTTATGTAACTTATAGTAGGAGTTCTATAGAAATGTAGGTTTGGCTTTGTGGTCATATTGCAATTCGACTGACTTCTTCAATTCACTTGTAATTTTCATTGTATATCACATCCTTGTATACTGTAATCTTATAAAACCTTGATGTTAGTTATTTTATGATTTCTATTGAACATATTGGTTAGATGGCAGCCATTTTGTCTTGAAACTCATGTGGCTATTTATTTTTCTAGTTTTTATATCCAAACTATGCCTCAGAAAGTTTTGTACAGTTACCATTATTATAAGATTTCTGTATTTTATCTGAAAATCCATTCTCCAACCTCTTTCTGTAAAATAAGTGAGAATGTTATTTTAATTTTTTTAAAAGGACTTTTTGATTTGTTATGAAATAACCTGATCAAATGCATTGATGCATGTATGTTATATGACAACCACATGAATATATTTGTAAGTGTAACATGTTGTGTATCATTTCTTACAGTCTGACTGGAATGATGGTGTTACCCTGTGTGCCCTTGCCAATTCATGTGGAGGAGTCTGCCCAGAATGGTCTTCATTAGATAGGGAAAACCCCATTGGAAACTGCCAAACAGGTAAGAACAAATTTATTAGGGAGATTTGGGGACTATTGATGTTGAAAAATGGTAAAAAAGTGTCTTCATATATTTGTCATTTACAGATTGTGATAATAGAATAGTTGCTGTGGAAACAGTAAATAGAAATGAAAGCAGTTGTCAATGTCATTGTCTGATATGTTGCAGCCATTTTTACCAAAAAATGTATGTCATCAAATGTTTATTAGGAATATCTGGCATGTCAGATATCATTTAAAACTTGACATATAACTCATGAAGCGTTACTGATGCATATTAATCAGTTTGATTCACAATGGCCTATATACTACTGGGTAGTGGCTATTTTGTTTTTTTCTTGTGTGTTCTAGCTTTTTCTCAGATTTTTTTTCAACATTTTTGTTAAAATTTAGTATAACAGGTTTCATATGCTTGCAACTTTGTTTTTTTTTTTCCTCGATGAAATATGTCAAAATAATTTGTAGGTGTACTATGTTGTCCCTTCCCTAACTCTGTGAGGTATCAGTACCCTCTTTTGTATAAGTGTAAGTAAATCAAATTCCTTGGGATTTTAGTTCATTTTGCACAATCACCAGGTAAAGCTTATTTTTACACAAAACATCGTTGGTTTCTATGGCAATATGTGGTGGCAAAGTCATATTTAGTGGTGCTATCCTGAATTCTAAGCAAATTTAGGTGATTAATTTTTATTTTTAATGATAAAATTTATCAAGTAAAAAGTAAAACTAAATATTAAAACAATGTAGAAGTATGCCATCAGTTGTTGACCCTTACCATTCACTATGACCTATGACCTATGAACAGATAAACACCAACATTTTGTTGAAACTATTGACAAACCATGTCAATCTGCACATTATAAAATTGTAACTGAATTATATCAGCATAAATATTGTTTATGCATAGAGCACAACAAATACAGACACACATCATATCACTTATAAATAAAACATTTATTTTGATATTCATGATTACAGTACAAAGCAGTCAGACGAGTCACAATTTCTTTCAATGCAGTGTTACCATGGCAATATATATTTCCCCAAAAAATTAATAAACTTTTCTCTTGAGGAGTAATTATAAACACAACAAGCAGGGTAAATTACTGATATATACAGAAGTAGCGTATTTTATTTGACTTCCTTGTTGTACTTTGCGAAAATGCTATTTCATTACAGGGGTTGTAGCACTCTGTATAGACAGGGAGAGCACAAGAAAGATGGGGGGGTTCAGAACATAATTTCAGGAAATATATGATTATTTTGATTACAATTATTCAAATCTATATCCATGATTCATTTGCCTTGTAAATTACATCAAAATCCTCAATTTTTTCCCTTCCTACTTCTATCTTCCCATCCCTATTGGATTTGGTAACTTCCATGAAATAATGTATTGTGCTGTTTGTTAAATTTCCGCTTTGTTTGATAACAACAGTAAACTTGTTGACAATTTTATTATTCTCCCGATTGTTATACCAGGTATTGAAGCATCCAAGAAGTTGCAACTAACGCCTCTTCTGACAGCCCAAGAACTAGCCAATCCAGAAGTGGATGAACTCGCTATCATGGCATATGCTGCAAGTTTTCGTCACGCTCAGAGACCTGCACCAAAGTATGCTGAGTTAGTAGATATAAGTCTTGCAGGTATTGCTATCAGTAAAGAAGACAATGAAACTGGAGTCAGAATAGCTACTGTTGGAAAGCCAGTAAGTTGTTATTATTCACTTCAAACTCAAGTTCCTGTGCAATAACTCATTATCGCAACAGACAATTCATTTTTCATTTATCTGACGTGTTCCTTATCATACTTACTTGTAAGTTGCACACAGCCAGACACAAAAATAATAGTATAACTGCAAATTTTAAATTTCTTCAGTATAAAGAATTTATTTATTTTAATGCAACTATTGTGTACTTGATTTGCAAATATGCTAAAGTCTTAGATTGACTGCAATATTAGAACTTGCACTCGCACCTCAAATTGTGGGAAGCAGATACTTTTTACCTTATTAACAGCTGGAGCTTCAAAGCCATAGACTATTTTGTCTCAATCGGCAGTAAAACATCACCCATCTCCAGTGCAGCGACCACAAAAATGTTACTGATGTTTGATCGAACCAGTAGATATTGAAAATCGGCACTCATGAAGTAACTACATAAATTGTAAACCCTTTAAGTCACAATATATAATCATAAAAATCATGGATTGATGTTTGTTGAATTTAACAATGATAAACTTACGAAAAACCATATTTTTCTTGATCTTTTTCATTGCTAATATCGATAGAATCCACCATTTTATTTGAGTGTGTTTGTGACATATTTCTGACCTGTGATGTCATCAAGTGCACTATAGAACAAGGTCTATTGATTAGTTGACTAAACCAGTTGAGGGGAGCTCGTTGAAATTTTGTTATGTAGGCATTCAGATGCATGTGGTGATAAATCAAGTTATACAAAATAAAATGTATGTTATGATTATAAAAACAATAAGAATAAAAACATATGGCAAAAATAAAATATGCGAAAATAAATTAAATTTCCATGCCTTAAAATACATCAGATTTTAATTAGATTGAGTGTTGTGTGTCCTGCAAATGCAACAATTTTAGATTATGATAATTTGGAATCTGATTCAGTCTGCAATATGGAATATCAAACTACAATATCAAATTTTTGTTCATAATGCATTTTCAAAAAGTTAACCGATCTGCTTTTTTTGATAGGTGTCCTTTGCTGTTGCTCTTTTGGATAAAAATGCTAAGATTAAAGATATTGCAGCAGTCGTGGAGGGACCCACAAAATCCTGCCCGGTGAAAGTCGATATGAATCAAGATATTGCCAACAAAGGCGTAGTGACATTCACACCATCTGAGATTGGTAGACATAAGGTATTACGTGGTCTTTAATGTTGTTTTACATTACATTGCATTGTTGTGTATATCAATATTTGATTGAGCTAATCATTTTAAAATACTTATCTTTTAATTATTAAATGCAACTTTAACTCCCATGTGCAAAGTCCACTTTTGAAGTCTTTGCAGTTATTTTTTGTTTGTGTGCATCTGATCAACGTTGTGACGACTTCCATTTAACTTTACACCTACCAAGTGATGACAACTCAACTAAGTGACAACCCTTACTATTTTTTCCTAATTTATATTAATATTTAAACAAATTTAATTTGAATTTGTATATCTTAGGTTAGTGAATGTGGTAGGTATGGTAAACTTTATATTAATATTAATATAACTGTACCATACCTTCCTCCTTTACTAAACCTAAGCTATGCAAACAACCCTATATAGAGTTGTGTATTAATCCAAACATAACATATGTGTGTGTGTGTGTGTGTGTGTGTGTGTATTTAGTAAGTTCCACTCATAGAATTAATCATCTCATTACAATGAAAGTTAAAATGTGCAGACCTTATTAGTTTTGGATTGAAATATGTGCATATTAATTACCTAATTTACATAATATTAGTAAGTTTTCACCCATTTCACCAATGTCTCAACAACCAATCTTTGAATGAGTTCAGTGAAACTGTTCACATAATTAGACAATTTTTTGTTGATTCACAGATATCATAAAATCCACTCACTCATTCCTTGAAACTTGGTACAAAGCTAGGTGTTGACAGGTTATTTACATATTAACTTTAGTTTAGGGATGAAATGAGTGCATATTAATTACCTAATTTACATATATTAGCCAATTTCTCAAGAAGCACTTAACAGACATAGAACATAGGTGAGATACTCACTTTAGTTATTTTTAGTTAGTATATTAATTACCTAATTTACATATATTAGCCAAGATACTCACTTTAGTTATTTTTAGTTTGTACCGGGTATTATCAACTTCAATTCTGTGGATTACATAGTTTACACATTGTGCATCTCATGGAGCATTGGCTTAACTTGAATTTGTAATTAATTTTTAAATATCTTCTATATCTATGTTGTGCTTGCAATACCACCAGCACACATGAGTTTTTTTAATGTGATCAGTGCTAAATAGATGATTATCTGATTTCTGTGATCTCCCTTAAATGTATGAATTGAATGTCTGCCACAAAAATTAAATGACTTTATTTCAGAATTTAATTTCTATTTAGTTCAAACAAAGTCAATCTTTCAGAGAGGAATATGTTGTTGAGATAACCTTACTTCATCAAAATAGACCATCATCAAATGTGTATAGCAAATTATTCAGCATGGAATTACCCAAAGAATACTTTTGTGTTTATTGATTTCACACGTTTTGATGCCACTATATATACAACACTTTTGTTTATCCTGTTTTTCTGTTCAATTTCACATATAGCATGGTATCTGACAGTGAACACAAAATGATCTATAATTTCACTCGTCAACACTAGCGCTATAATTATTTTTTTAAATATTTGATTCAGGTGACTGTCTATGTTGAGGGTAATTTAGCACGTGGTACTCCATTTGACATCATGGTGAAACCAGACACTACACCTAAACCTAACAAAGTACATATTACTGGTGGTGAGGCGGTGGTTGTAGGAGATGTAGCAATATACACAAGTAAGATTTATTTTATAGTCTTGACCCGCATATGACAACATTTGTGATTTTAGGTGTGGTCAATGAAATCCGTGGATTATACCTTATACATAATATTGAGGTTGAACATTTTTTCTCTCTCATGTTTTGTGTAGTTGATGCAAGTGAAGCCGGGGATGGATCTTTGGAGGTAACCGCTGGCAACGGGTATGAGAAATGCCCAGTTACTATCACACAGAATGGTAAGAATTACACTGTAACTGTCAAACCTAAAGAAGCAGGATCACATGTGGTAAACGTCAAATGGGCGGGTCAAAATATAACAGGTGAGTTAAACTTTCACCCTTGATCTACCAAGTTTTGTTGCATTTCTTCTATAATGCAATGTTCAGATATGTACCATTTCAGTTTTCACAATTTTCCAATGCCTGTAATTATTACTATACTTCAGTGTTTGTCACTACACTACAGTGTTTGTCACTATACACCAGTGTTTGTCACTACACACCAGTGTTTGTCACTATA